TACATTGAATTGTTAGAAAATATATATTTAATAATTATATTTAATATATATATATGAAGTAATATTTAAATTGTTAAAAAATCGCGTGTAATGAGATATAAGAAATAAGATATAAAAAAATCATGTGTAATGAGATATAAGAAATAATCTTCTAATCACGTATTACGTATCAAAATCGTGACATATTTTTCAAAGAAAAGATAAGTTTCTTGGAATAGATGATAGGAATAACTGTGAACATCTTATTTACTTGTCATTTATGTAATAATTTCTAAATGTTTATATATAATATATTTGTATCGTTATATTTTGTATCGTTTACTCATTATATTCATTACAATAATGATACTCGATGAAAAAATGTTTTAAACATAATGACTTCTTGCACCATGAGAGAATATCTTACTGTAGCTATATTATTGCAACTTTCGATAACACTCGTTATTAAATTTTTTTCGAAACCAAATTCTACTGGATTTTCAAATTCTTCTGATCTTTCGTTTGTATAACTATTTTTAAACCACGAATATTTAAATAAGTTGTGATATCGCGGAGATGACAATTGATTATGTATTATATTATTTCTTTCATGTAAATTTATATTATTTTCCAATAATAAAATAATATTTAAAAATCTTTTAGCAAAATTTTTCCAAATCCGTAAACATCTAATGATTGTATTTTTCTTGTAGTGCCTTTTGGTATAATCATAGTAGTAATATGTTTTCCTGCAGGTTAATCTGAAATAAATATTAAATCTGAAATAATATTGGGACAATGTTCTGTCCATGAATTGAAAAGAAAAATGCTTTAATTAGAATCAATGTTTGGAAAATAAGCTTTTTCGAACTTTTAAAATGATCTATAAGAAATATATAAATATTAAATTAATAACTATTTTACGATTGTCATGAGATTCTTAAACAAAATACATTATAGAAATGACACAGAGATTATAATTTCATTATTTCGCTTATGTAAATTTATATTTTTAATAGTAAAACAGTATCTGAAAATCTATTGTGAAAGGAAATTTATTTAATTACCTGAAGTCATTTTATCAGATTTAGATGCTTTTACAATAATATTTATTGGTGTAAATAAGGTTTCTTATATTTTTGGTCCAAATATATCATTAATTTCTTTTAAAATAATAAATAAAGATGATAGCAAATTTTCGTTACATGATATTTGTTGTATGATGTATGAGTTGTTGATGATATAGATTGCATAACACACTCTACTTTCTTTATTCCTTGATTAGACAATGATCTTCCAGAATGAATTTCCAATTAGAAACCACTTTGATAAGAATTAAAAACATTTTCAGATCCAAACTGTTCGATAAGTGGTTTCACTGTTTTCAGAAAATCATTAGCTGTATTTTATAAATTAACAGAATCTTTTATTGTTCTTCTAGTTACAAATTTTATAATTTTTCTCGAAATTCAGCAGGACTTCTTGAATCTTAATATCCAACTGTAAGATGCTTTAAATATAGGATTTAAATTTCCTATTTTTTCTTGAGCTTGTAAAGCTCATCTTTGTAAATCGATATCATAAACTGATTCAACAGTTGTAATAAATTTATCATGTGTAAATTTGAAGATTGTAAGATAATTTTTCTATACGATTTTCACCTGAATGTAATTGTTCTTTTCATCGTCTTAATTGACATTTGGATGAAACTCTTCTAAATTTATTTTGCATTGATTTTAATGGACAATTTCTTTTGTTATTTTTTTCATTAATATCCCAATTCCACCAATACTCAATAGCTCGTCTTTTATAAGAACTGTCAAAGTCTGCGTCATCATTTGAACATTGAGGATGAGAATTTAAATTATCTTCACTCCATGCTTTTTCGTCATTTTTAATTATTTCAGAATTATGTTAGTTATAAAGTTCTTGATAGTTGAGATAGATTTCTTCTGTTATTTCCAACTCATTAGTGAAAAATACTATCCAACAATAATTTTTGTATGTGTTCTTTTAATTCTATTTCTGCTAGTGGCTAATGTCTGTTAGACGTATTGACTTTATAGATGTTAATAAAAGTCTAACAACATTAAGTGGATTGATAATCATGTATAAAAATGTTAAACTTTGTTTTGTATCGTAATATAAAAACAATTTATCAAATTGTATAGGTATGATTAGACAGAACGACTGCACTGACTGAACGTAAGATTGGTACGTGAATATTCTTATACTGTCCATTTGTTATAATTATTTTGAATGTATATATGAACTTACTGCACAATTATTCCTATCATCTATTCCAAGAAACTTATCTTTTCTTTGAAAAATATGTCACGACTCTGTCGTGATACGTGATTTAGAAGGTTATTTCTTATATCTCATATATATTAATGACGATTCAGACGCGAGATTTTCTAACAATTTAAATATTACTTTATATATTATATATATATATATAT